TGTTTGATAACAAACGCAACACTAAGAAATGTGACGTAAGATTCCAAGCGATCAGCATTTATTGCACGGCTGCAGCGAATTAAAATTGAGGAGTACTCAACCGTAAAGGTGTGTAACTTAGTCTTTTTGTTTATGGGTTCTGATTCGTACCGCTAGATTCATCTGTCAAATATTGCCTCTTTGCTAGGGGCAGAAACATACAATTGTCTGTTCTTTTCATTTTGGGGATGATGACTTCGGAAGTATTGTATTGTATTGTCTTTTAATACTGGTCGGTAACTTTTGAAAACGTGCAGCCTCCCCTCGATCAGTGTTTAAATGACCTGTTCCCAAGCCATTCCTTATCCGTAAGATCTAAAATAAGATAAAGCTGGACAGGACTCTGATTCGAGGGAAACCAAATATGGTAAACACCACAGGAGTGAGGTGTGTGTTGAGCCAAATGATGCTTAGCTACACAGCTTACACGAATCCGACGCTAAAATTTCTGAACTATAATCTGAAATTTTAGCACTAAAGGTAGAAGGTAAAAAACTGCTAAATATTAAGTGAGATTTAACTAGTCTTTTTTAAAGAATATTGAAGACAGCACCACTTTAATCCTGCCCAACCCAAGTGACCCTGAAAAAGGTGGACCCTTTTGAGCTCGGGCTTAACATTAACTATGTGACAATAAAACTTGCCTTCTCGGGTGTCAAGTTTCATAATGTAAAAGGGCGTTTGATTTCTAATAAACCATGACTTGATATTTATTATCTGTCACTCTTCTGTTTGGTAAAGCAGCCAACTATGACATTGTGCTTGATATGACAACACCACACTCTAAGCCCTGAATATCAATTTATATGTACATATAAATATACATGCTAAACCAATATTTTTCATGTACTCAGCATATTTAGTTGCTGCCTAAGACCAGTTTACCATTCAATATTATTAGAAACATTCTGTGACACGAGAGTATATTGAATAAACCTTGTTTGCGGTGAGAGATGAGTTTCCATTCACAAACAAGTGCAAATTACAGCTACCTGACCCTGACCTGAATCTTTTACTTGGAAACCACAACATATTTTTGCTCTGACCTTTTAATTCTCAATTAAGGATAGATTAGGAATTTTCAAACAACTTATAAATTGCTCCTCCTTAAAATAGGGGCATTTGTAATCCCACTCAAGCTGGTGTGTCAGTGTCAATTGGGAATTCAGGAAAGGAGCCATCAACAGCTCTAGGTCTTGGCAAATTGGAATAGTGGTCATAACACTGAAGTTTGTCTGAGAGGGATGTTTAACTCACTACCCGTGGAACCTTGTGTCCAGTTAATTAAGTTGAAACTATTGCAGGACAGTTAATTGTCTTATGCTGTGTTTACATTCAAACGTTTACTGCGGTTTAAATTGACCGAGGTCAAGTTAACTGAACCTAAGTAGATTAGTGCAGTGTTTATACTGGCTCAAATAACCAAAGTTAATCTGTCAACACTGCCAAAAATCGAATTGGCGGGAAATACAAGCTAATGCGCGCAATTTTTAAAACATGGTCGGTATTAACAAGAAAGCGGTGGCTCTGATAGTCATTGCCTTTTTCTTTTTAATTCTTGAGAAGCAAGTAGAAGTGTCTGGATTACGGCAACTGCTGATACTACAACACCTCAAGAAAGTGAGACAAAAACGGATGATTTTACTCCAACTTATGCAGCGAAATAGCAGGCGAGCGAGACGTGCTTGGTCCTGGCCAAGGAACCAATTCTGGTTCGAAAACCTACTAAACGGGTCTTTTGTTGAAGATTGGTGGAAGGAGAACTTCCGAATTACAAGACGTACCTTTGAGTTTATTGTCCGTGTGGCTGGTCCGGAGATGGCGAAGAAAGACACCAGACTGTGGCAATGTATCCCAGTGCACAAGCGAGTAGTGGTAGCATTATGGCGGCTAGCAACGGGCGACACATACCGATCTACAGGACTACAATTCGGTATTGGACGGTGCACGGCCATGTTGATAAAACAGGATTTTTGCAATGCTATTGCTAAACGTGCTAAAGAATTCATCAAATTTCCAGAAACCGAACAAGAGGTGCTACAAAGTATTAGATTGTTTACAAACAAGTCTCCATTTCCCCAAGTAGTAGGGGCTATTGACGGTTGTCATATTGCTTTGAAGACAGTGCCTGTGGACGAGCGAATTGATTACTTCAACCGAAAGCAAGATTATTCTGTTGTGATTCAAGGTGTTGCTGACGCGTCATTTCGATTTCTCGATATAAGTGCAGGCTATCCTGGTAGCATTCACGATGCGCGTGTTCTTCGTTTAAGCAATCTGCACAGGGAAATTGAACAAGGCAACTGGCTGAACGGGCCTACAAAACAAATTTCTGGTTCCGAAATTAGACCTTTGCTTGTTGGAGACTCAGCATATCCCTTATCTGTTTGGTTAATGAAGCCTTTTAAGCAAACACGTACGTTAAGTGAACGACAACTGCGGTTTAATCGTGCTCTCAGTAAGCCCGTGTTGTTATCGAACAGGCCTACGGAATCTTGAAAGGGCGGTGGAGGTGCCTTTACAAGGCAATGGAAGAAAAGACAAGTAGAGTGGCCATCACGATCTTGGCATGCTGTGTTCTTCACAATATTTGTATCGATGTGGGAGACCCTAGCCCCATAGACATATTGGGAGATGACAACGATGACATGGATCAAAGTTTAAATGGAGACGTATCGCCAATTGCGTCTGATGTTAGAGACAAAATTATGGACTATTTATCAGCTTAGGAAAATAGACAAAAATAGAGCAGGCTCATTGATTTTTTGCTTACTCATGTCATTTTCTTTATTTTCGCGAAAAACTAGCATTGTAGCTCAAGTTTGTACACATGTACATGTAAATTTTCGTTAAAGTTTTGAAAGTTAACAAACTTTGTAACTGTTTTGTTTACAAATTATAGACAGCGATTTTGAGCAATTATTTAAAAATATAAAATGATTGATTAAAGAGTATACGATCGAATACAATTATTCATAATTTTAAAATACTGGATGTTAACATCTCTGGTTTGATTTGTGATCACTAAAAGTTGATCAGCATGTATCCAAAAACGTTTTTTTATCCAAAATCTTTTCAACACGACATTCAGCTAATTAATAAATGGTTTTGTATTAATGGATCCACTATTTCGTGACAACAGAACACAACAATAAAAATACTAAAAAATACTAAAAAGGGTGTTCATTCGTTTCCTTTACTAACGTCCTTGAGGATGTTTCCGAGCATAGCTAGGGCATCCATGGAAAACTTCTGCTGATCTTTCCTGTATTCTCTCTCGGCTTCAGCCATCCACTCCATAAAAGCCTCGTCCCTTTCTTGTGAGCGTTCAAGAAATGATATCAAGGTTGGCTCATCTACTCCTGATGATCCGCCTTTTCCCTTCTTTTTGTGCCTTTTTTTGATGGCCTTTCCGCTGCATCAGTGGCGCGCTTTCTTGGTAGCTTTTTTTCCACATCAGCCTCGCGCCTCTTCGGTACCGGTGTGCTTGCCAAAGGCTTTTTATTTTTGCCTTTACTCTTAAAAAAGAGGGATTCTGCAAAGGCAAGCGACTGGTGGCTATCGGATTCATCTCCATCAGAAGGCACGGTGCACTCAGATGGAGGAGAAACGTTCTGGGCAGTCCCTTGCCTTTGTTTTTGTGCAGCTCAGCAGATATCCTCATCTAGGGCATCGTTCTCGAGGATATGGCCTTCGAGTTCCGACATTTCCGGTAACTCGCTATCGGGGAAGTGAGAGCTTTCGAGCACGTGGCGTGGGTTGATGGATTCCCTTTTACCGAGAATTTCATCCATATCGTTGAAATGTTTCGGTATGATGTCCTCACTTTCTTCACTTTCATTGTCGGACGGCACATCGCCCCCTCTGCCGTATCCTGTCGACCGAAGCTTGTCTTTGGTGTTTTTATACTTCTTTGTCAAATTTGCCAATTTGTTCTTGCACTGTTGTGGNTTTCTTCACTTTCATTGTCGGACGGCACATCGCCCCCTCTGCCGTATCCTGTCGACCGAAGCTTGTCTTTGGTGTTTTTATACTTCTTTGTCAAATTTGCCAATTTGTTCTTGCACTGTTGTGGCGTTTTGTCGCTGTCTACGTTTTGTTCCTTGCACCGCGAGTGCAGCTGGCGAGCAATTGACAGCCATTCAGGGGAGCTAAAGGCTTTGTATCGCAGCTTATCTTCATTTTCTCCAAACAGCTCCACCAAGATCTTTTCTTCAGTGTCTGTCCAACGATTTTTCTTCTTTGGACCAGTGCTGCCACTGCTGCTGTGGCTGTTCTCTTGCAATTGCGAGCCAGGCAGATCAGAATGGCGTCGTACTGAAGATGAGTGAATTTCTTGCGCTCCTTGCAATTGAGAGCCACAGAACGGCAGCACAGCATATTGAGGTTGCGGGTAGTAAGGGAAATACGTCGCAGACATTCGCGAATATTGTTGCTGTGGATCTTGCCTGAAAAAAAAAACGGAAAACAAATGAATAATCTGTTTTATCCGGATAAAAAAAAAGTGTGAGTGGAATGAAGTGGAGACGTAATACATTGCTTACCTTGCGGTTTGACCGCCGTAATAATTCAAAAATCTGTCCTTATTTTGTTCCATTTTGCTAGAGCACGAAACGTGGCGCAAAGAAAGCCTGAACTCCGCGAATAAAACATGAAACGTGACAAGGAAACTTGAACTCGCGATAAATCAAAAAAACTTCACCAGAACCGGATGTATCTGTCAATTTGACCTCGGTTACCGAGCTAAACAAAGCCAAATCACTGCATCATTATCGCTTTTACCGTGGTTAAATTTCCTTTGTCTTTTGCCGCATTTACTGAGGTATTAATTGATGTTTACATTGACCAAAAATTTACCTAGGTAAGTAAACTCTTTTAACCGCGGTAAAAATCCCAAGTGTAAACACGGCATTAAGTGAATGAAAGAACTAGTAATTTGCCGTCTCTTTATTTTGGACAGTATGTTGCCTGGCTGCATACAAGGGACACCTTAAAGCCCCCATTTCCCCCTGAGCATTTCTCCCTGTAATACAGACTGACGACATTATATGCCTTGTATACATTATATGAATTAGGGTTCGTACCCTAGGTCCTTGGCTTGTGCTAATGTTTTGAGTTGTACACATTCCAGTTCTTCGGAATTCAGTGAATTCAAACACTTAATATATAATGTAAACATATGATTACAGTTACCATTTCCTCCTGCTGTACAAGAGCATTTATCACAACTGTTAACATTGTGAGGCTTTTCATTCTTCCTCGGTGATTTAAAGCATTCCCCTCTACATGAATTTATTGTCCATATAAGCCTACAATAATCATCGTGACAGGCATTTTCAAGTAAAAATTTGTATCCCTTTTCGAGGGTGTTTTGAGTTTTTCGTTGCTTGTTCAACACTGTAAATGTAAGTGGAGTGCTTTGGAAGAATTGATGCATCCCTGCTCCAGCTCTCTTTAGTGGCCACATCTCTAACCAGGAATCGAGCTGATAGCTTTGTGGATTACTGAGCTACGCCTTAACAGAGTGAAAAATTATTCTGTGCAAGGGTCGACTGGAGTATAAACGTTTTTATCCAACTTCTTTCTTACCCTAAAACCTATACATAGTAACATAAAAATCTGATGATGAGAAGCATAAACTTTTTATGGAGATAGAATTATCGTACATTTTGAAAGGATCAGAACAGCAACATGAAAAATCCTTTCAATCAGCTTTTATTTAATACCTGATAGATAATCCAAGTCTCTTATAAGCGTTAATAATTAATCGTTTTCAGCTTTTTTAATAAAGGCCCGCATAAAAAATGAAAGTATCAAAACCATTGCTAAAAAAGATTACCTGGGAAGAAGTTAAGCTGGTGTCTGTTGACGTAAGCCATGACAATTAAGCCAAAACTTTAATTCACACTTTTTTTGGCATTTAAATCAGCTCTCTTTTGCCCTGGATATCATCGATCCAGGAATATCTTTGCACGAAAGCTTTAATGTTACGATAACACCCATAAAGACATTGTATAAAGAAAATATTCCTCTTGATCTAAAGTAAAAACATTTCTTTTTATATGAACACGCTGCAAAATCAACGTCAACAGAGCTTTCATCTTTGGTAGCCATTTTGGCCACGTGTATGATCTTTCCACGAATGACGTCATTCATTGAAAATTCAAGATGGCGTCCAGACTACTAAAAGCGTGTATAGCCATAAAAACGAGATACGGGGTTGGAAAACAATGAAATATGGGGGACCCCCTGAGTGGATCAATACATGTCTTTATGCCTTGTGTGGCTTGCAGCTTGGCTTGCATGACTCGCATCATGGCTCGCATGCCTTGCACCCTGGCTTGCATGGCTCGCATATTGGTAAAACTCTGTGATATCCTGTTTCAGGGGAGCTGGCAAATTTTGTGGGTCGACACAAGTACTTTTGATCACCAGCAAGGCCTTTGATAAATGTGCTGGAAATAGGTTATGGACTTAAAATTTCTCCAAACGCCAAAGCTCTCGGTCTAGGTTTCCTATTAGTCCACCACCTACAGCTGTTCTGCTACCAGTGGGTTTCAAGTTGAAGATCTGCACCATCTTGTTCATTGAGCGTTAAGAAGTCGTAAAAGATGTTGTGAAAAGCATTATGTTATGATAATGAAGGGAGAAGCCATAGTTAGAGGGAAAGAAGGGAAATTGTTCCGAGTTCATCATCACTACAAGGTTTCTTGAATAAGTCGACATTGCATGTCACTTTGAAGTTTCCTTCAGTGAGTGCTATTTGATTACTAACATACCCTCCCAAGGGTACAAGACCAGCATTGGTAGATAGATACCTTGTCGCCTCCAGCATCAAATACAAACCAAGGCCAAAGATACAGAACTTACTTGAAATACGGTAGTTAAAGTACTGACAAGGACTGTAATGTATACCCTTCCTTTCGCATACACTTCATGTTGCTGGTGGTGCAGTTCATGCATGGGGTGGTGCAGTTCATGCATGGGAACATCTTGATGTCATTCAATGCATTCAACTAGAGGACCAACCTGCATTGTTAGAAATACAGTGTATCAAATCTAATGAAACATTTACAAGTCCTGATTTCACTTCCAGTATGACAAGAGGGCTGAAGCGATCAATGGACTACCCTTTTACCATGGTGTAAACACAATGTACGATTTACATTTATTTTGGTTTGTTAGTTATGTTCGACGACCTCGAAGGTAATTACTCACATAAGCTTTTACAGTTGTATGCTTTGACCACTGCAGAACAGAACTGCAATATTACATGGGTAACTGAACTGACCTCAGTAAATGCCACATCTTGCCCCTGCTTTTTTTATTTCATTAAGTATGTTCTTCTGCAATGGTCTGATACAAATTGTGACTCGCCTGGATGCATCCTTTAGTCAAGAAGGTGAGTACACCATCAGGAGCTTGAGGAAACCCTGATCTTTCACTCGTCTCCTCTTTTGTTTATTAGAAGTTCATATTCTCCAAAGGAAGAGAGTTCAGAAATCTGTCCATCAGGAAATCATGCACACTGTGTGCTTGCAAATCAATAGTGATGGAGCCAGGCCCCAACCCATAGTCGGGTGTTACTAAAACGAAGACCCAAAAACGAAGACCTAACACCTAAGACCCCTTGGACTAAAACGAAGACCCCATGAACTAAAACGAAGACCCTATGGACTAAAACGAAGACCCCATGGGCTAAAATGAAGACCCCATAGACTAAAACGAAGACCTCATAGACTAAAACGGCTGATGCTAACCGCTGAGGGCAATGCACACTCCCGTAATTTGTTACGGCGATTTGGGAATGTTGTGGAATTTCCTCTGCAGTATTTAGCTGTGATAGTCAACTCTATCACTTACCTTTCCTTCAGGTTTGTTTGCCGAAAATATTTTGCATGTTTTAAACCTCTTTGGAAGTGTTTATGGTAAAGATAATGTCAGTTTTATTTAAATCAAAGCTTTTTGCAGGGTGAAGGTGAGAGCCCTCTAGTGTGTCATGTGGTTATAATGTGCCTTCTGTGAAGAGGATTGGCGTGACAAGCCCAAAGGTCATCAGCGTGTTCATGGGAGGCCTGACAATCAAAAAGGCTTATGACAGGATTTGTCTTGAAGACTTCCGCCAAACGTGTTTTGGGAGCGTGGTTGGGGTTTGAGGGAGGAGGGAGTCCATTGCCTTTCTGATATTTTATGGTTCACAAATTCAATGTGAGATGATTTGGGTGTCATCCCGGGTGTAATGAGTTAAGAAAATATAACCGCGTGCTCCAGCTTTCTAAAATGTCAAAGAATTGTATCAATGCATTAAAAAACAAAACAGAGACAACACGTAGTACAGGGAGGGGAAAACAGGGAGACATTTCTCATTGACCAATGCAAGGACAGAGGAACCTGGCGCTCTATTTATTACTTTTTACCTCATCAATAGGGGAAAAAAAGCCTCTGATCTAGAACATTACTCGAGTACAGGTTAACATTTCAAGTTTCATTTAAGCGAGGTTCATTTGTCTTTATGCCAGGTTTTATTTATATCCCTGTCATACGCTGTTATGATATTCTGTCCTCTGTTGTTAAAAAATGACTAATCTTTACGGCTTAAACAGTTGTTTTTATGATAACTGTGATAAAAAAAATACTAATAAAAAAAAGAAGGAAAAGGACAAGGAAAAATAATGCATGTTGACGAGACTCAAACCTGGGACCTTTGTTCTACCATTACGGTTTTACCACTAGGCCGCGAGGGCTCTCTCGCCTTCACTCTGCAAAAAGCTTTTATTTCAATAACACTGACGTCATCTTCACTGTAAACACTTCCAAAGAGGTTTAAAACATGCAAAATATTTTCCGCAAAGAAACCTGAAGGAAAGGTAAGTGATAGACTTGACTATCACAACTAAATACTGCAGACGAAATTCCACAACATTCCCAAATCGCCGTAACAAATTACGGGAGCGGGCATTGCCCTTAGCGGTCAGCATCAGTCGTTTTAGTCTATGAGGTCTTCGTTTTAGTCCATGGGGTCTTCGTTTTTGTCCATGGGGTCTTTGTTTTAGTCTGTAGGGTCTTCGTTTTAGTCCCTGGCGTCTTTGTTTTGGTCCATAGGGTCTTCGTTTTAGTCCAAGGGGTCTTAGGTCTAAGGTCTTCGTTTTTGGGTCTTCGTTTTAGTAACACCCCCCATAGTCTGACAATGCAGTTTTGGCTGACATGGTGGACAGAGGCCTTTCTTCATCAACTCTTCCCAGACAAGAAAAAAATTGGAGGGTGCTTACCCTTGGAATTTTGCGTTTGTCTCAGTGGTTTTGCAGATGGTTGAAAGGATCTAATTGCCCACCTTGCAGCATAATTAGGAACTCTTCAGTGCTTGGCGACGGCTCCTGTTCCAGGTCTTGCATTTATGTCTAAGTTAATTCTGGACCTCAACAGCCCCTCGATTCTTCCTCAAGTAAACTTGCATTTTGTTGGAAGACTGCCTTTGGCTATATAGGGAGATGCGGCTGTACCCTGCATAGCAGCACGTGAGTAATATAGGGCATGCAGTGTTAAGGACAAGGGAGGGACAAGGATATCTGCCTCCCCTTGACCTGTTGAGCCAGACAA